AAAAAAAAAAAAAAAAAAAAAAAAAAAAAAAAAAAAAAAAACTGAAGCCATGGACACTGCTCTCTTAGGAAAAAGAGAAACAAAAAGTTTTTTGTTGCGTCTCCTTCAGTTTTTTTCCTTTCCTTTTTTTTTGTATCCTGATTTCGCTTACTTTTTTTAATCAAGCAATCTCTGTGTACAGTAGCTAATACAAGATAGGGAGATTTTTATTTTTTTTTCCTTTCTTCTTTTATTCCTTTTTGTTTTAATGGGTGACGGCTTTGAGATACCATCATTGACCTGATGGCCCCCCAGATAATTCATATTTATTTTATAAAATTTATATTGTTTTGCTCATCTGATTGCGACTGGATTCGAACTCCGGGTCTGTCTGTATTCAACAGTTCATGGGTGTACCAATTGAGAGCTAGGCCCATTGATTTTGCTGTTTTTTTTAAATTGGTATCATTTCATTTCCCTTTTTCTTTTTTGGATCCATTGCTACAGGGAACAGATTCAGATATACCTTCTTCCCCCGAATACAACGTACGGTCATTATAGCTGTATTTGGGTTATCTTTACGTTCACATACAGCCGCAATAATATGACCGTACGTTGTAGCTGTATTTGGGTTATTTGGGTTATCTTTACGTCCACATACAGCAGCAATAATATGACCGTATGTTGCAGCTGTATTTGGGTTATCTTTACGTCCACATACAGCAGCAATCGTTCTATTCGGGTGACAAAGGTGGACCCTGAATCTGGAATTTTTCTGTCACATTATATTCTTGCCTTCGGTACTGGGCAAAAACATTATATTTCCCCCCACCACCACCAAAAAAAAAAGTTCTTTTTTTAAACGAATAGAAAAGAAAAAAAAAAACGTTCTTTTTCAAAAAACAACAGAAAGAAAAGAAGCAAAAATTTCCAAACACTAGCTCCGTCCAGCGAGGTCTACGTTTAGTTTTCGACCCTTGTTTGACTGTAGGCGACCACGGAGACGCACTCAGTTCAAGTGATTCAGCGGTTGGTTTTTAATTAAAAAGAAAAAGAAGCAATAGAGACGATCGCTTTTTCTTCCTACAAAAAGCAGAATTAAATCCTTTCTTTCAAATACTACACCCCCCCCCTACCCTCCTGACTTTCCGTTCAGTTAGCTGTCTCTTTTTTTCGAGACAGCCGGCCCCTCTACCCCTCTCTCTTATTCCCCCAAAGCAAAAGGCTTTTCTTTTTTTTTTTCCTGGAGAAAATGTGTTTTTTTGCCATTTTCATACAAAATTCTGGCAATTGTAAGAAATTCTGACTACTCTTCCTTTTCAGCTGGGGCGAGGACCCACTAGCAAAGAGGATTGAATCGAACGCCTGAATCTGGACGTGTTGGTGCAAAGGGTGCAGAAAATCGAGATTGAAGTGCTTTTCTGCATCTCTGCTTAAAACACGTCCAGATTCAGGAGCTTAATCCAATCCTCTTTGCTAGTGGGCCCTGGCTCATGTGGAAGTGTCCGTCTGCCACTCCAATTGTGGAAAAAGAAAACACAGAACGATTTAATTTATATCCGTGCCATTTATAAATGCATTTCTCATTTTCATTTCTTTTCAATCGTACCTTTGCCGCTTGGGAAAATGGCAGGCCTCGGGTAGGCGTCCGACCTTTTCAGAGGCCGAAACGAAATGACGGCCGCCGATCAGATTTATCAATGGCAGTCATCATTTGGCCCGACCTCCGAAAATTCAGGAGTTTGGGAAAACTGCCAGTTTTCCCTATTTTCCCACGCACTAGTACCTTGCCGCTTGGGAAAATAGCAGGCCTCGGGTAGGAGTCCGACCTTTTCAGAGGCCGAAACGAAATGACGGCCGCTGATCAGATTTATCAATGGCCGTCGTCGTCGGGCCCAACCTCCAAAAATTCAGGAGTTTGGGAAAACTGCCAGTTTTCCCTATTTTCCCACGCGGGAAAGGTACTAGTTGTTTAACAACTAATGAACATTTTCAGCTGTCACGCCGTTGAGTTGAAACAACGACAGCGCCAAAGCGGGACACGGTCTCAGCTTCAAGGGTGAAAGTGGGACTTGGTCCCAGCCTCAAGGGTGAAATTGGGACATGGTCCCAGCTTCAAGTTCAAGGGTGAAATTGGGACATGGTCCCAGCTTCAAGTTCAAGGGTGAAAGTGGGACATGGTCCCACCTGGGGCATAAGGTTGGACGCTTTGGCAATCTCTGCATTTGCTGATCTGTATACTTTGCCTTGGGCACTGACACCAAGTCCCACTAGCAGCGTTTAATTTCCTCAACCCCTGAATCTGGACGTGTGTGCGCACTGGCACCAAGTCCCACTAGCAGCGTTTAATTTCCTCAACGCCTGAATCTGGACGTGTTTGCGGAGATGTGCAGAAATGGCCTTGATTTTCCTCAACAGCACATGGCCGCAAACGCCTCCAGATTCAGGCCTTAAGGACACTCATCGCTGCTAGTGGGACTTGGCCCCTGGATCCAGAATAACATAAAGGAGGGACCTTTATTTGGCGCAAAAAAAAAAAAAAAAAAAGAAGAAACGAACAGTATTACAAGTCTGGATAGGATTCCCAACCACTGGCCATCCGCCAAGATTTTGAATGCATCTGGACAAACGCGATGTCCCAGTGCATTGAAGTGAGAGAAAATATATATGCATCTGGACAAACACGATGTCCCAGTACAAGACAGCTTAAAAAAAAAAAAAAAAAAAGAGGTCAACGGGAAGTGGTGCACAACTAGGCCCTTAGTGACAGTGGCAATGCCACAGGGGCGAGGTCCCACTACGGTAGCAAACAGGATTGGATGGAGAGCCTAATTTGACATAAAACTACGGGAAAAAAAAAAAAAAAAAAAAACGTTAGCAAGGGACAAAGACTGACCAGAGGTAAAAGCATGACTTCTTTTTTTTTTTTTTTTTTTTTTTTTTGACGACACAAGCTGGCCAAGGAGGATAGAATCGACGATTGAAGGGAGAGACAGAGGCAGAGGAAAAGAAGGGACGACGATGACTCAACAAGCCATAGGAGTAGATAGGTAGGTAGGCGAAAGGCGAAAGAATTCGAGAGAAGAATATAATGCAATTCTCAGAAGAAAAGAAAAGAAAAAAAAAAGCAAAAAAAAAGCAAAAGAACGCAAATATAATAAGGCAAAGTCTCTCTTTTTTTTTTTTTTTTTTTCGGTCAACGCTTTTGAAACCGGAATTTTTTTTTTWTTTTTTWTTTTTTGGGAAAAACCGGAAATTTGGGGATCTTCTGTGAAAACGATGTCATTTTCAAAGACAAGTAGATTATTGATCTTGATGGTTATTGCCAAAATCTCCCATGGCTCCATCATCTTCTCGTGAACATCCTCGTGTCTCTCGTTAGCCACGTGGCCGTCATAACGCGTGCGCCACGTGGCACTCTCGGAGCGTGCCTACGTGCTTTCCCCCAACCATGCCTACTGAGTCTACCTCCATCAGATCTTCCTCCCTTCATGAACAACCTCCATGTCTCTGGCTTGCCACGTGGCAGCCGGTAACTGCGTGCCACGTGTCACTTGCAACCGTGTCACTTGCTACCGTCTTCGCCCGAACACAACGCACCCTCATTTTGACTGTATCTGGACGTAAACATACCTTGTAAACACTCATTATCAGGGTGCGTTATGTTCGGGAGAAGACGGTAGTGCAGCTTCCTCCACATTCATGAACATCCTCCATGTCTCTGGCTCGCCACGTGGCAGCCGAAGATGCATGCCAGGTAGCAGCCGTCGAAGCATGCCACGTGGCAACCGGAAGTGCATGCCACGTGTCAATTGCTACGTCGCTCTCTGTCCGTTCGCTCCACATTAATGACATTTTCATGTGTCTCGACGTCCACGTGGCGGCCGGAGGTGGACGCTCCGTTTTGATGATATCTGACATCTTCATCTGACTCCATTGCCACGTGGCGGCCGGAGGTGGACGCCAAGCGGCCCACCGGCTTGCTCCAGTTGTGCCTCCGGTAGGACATCATCACGCTTCAACGTTTGGCTCAGCTGGCGGTATAGGATAGGCCAGGTGGCATAACCCACTCTTCCGCACCCCGCGCGAAAACGGCGCGCTGCTGCGCCTTTGGCGCCAGCTGCAGATCTCGGTCCCGCCAAAACTGTGCCGCCCCCGATGCGCTCCACGTTTCCCGCCAACTCGCTGTCAATAAAGGAGGCGAAAATTGGACTGCCAGATGACTCCTCCGGCCGGGGTACACACCTTATCACGTCTCTTTCCCCTCTTCCACGTGAACACCACGACCATCTTCACCCGACTACCTAGAACGCCCCGTCATTATCGCTGTATCTGGACTACATGTTGCCCCAAATACAGCTATAATGACCACGCGTTCTATTCGGGCGAAGACGGTAGTCGTAGACGATGGGAATCGATCTTGCACTGCACGAGAGTCCACGAGCGAACAAATCAATCTCTCTCTCTCTCTCTCTCTCTCTCTCTCTCTCTCTCTCTCTCTCTCTCTCTCTCTCTCTCTCTCTTCGCGAACGAGTTGCTCGATCATAAGTCTCATGCTATCAATCGCCAGCGGATGAGGGAAATAAACCCTAGAAAAAAAAATAAAAAAATCCTAGACTTCTAGCTAGTGTACAACAGTGAGCCACAAAATGATGAGGCCACGGGAAAGAAAAACACCGACTCTCTCTCTCTCTCTCTCTCTCTCTCTCTCGGCCCGAGGCAACGCGCAAAACATCTGAAGCTGTCTACATCACCCGAGGAGATGCCCAGGCAGACGCAAGGCCCGCGATTGTGAAAAAACTCCCAAGGGCAATTTCGACCGAAAACAAAGGGGGGGGGGGGAGGGAAAGGGAACAGAAAGGACAAAGTTCCCCCGCTCCCCCCCCCCCAAAGAAAAGAGGACAAAGAGGGGACAAAAACAAGGAGGACATTTCGACCAAAAAAATTGGTGGAGTGGGATCACTCCTGCGCAATCTTCATCTCTTCCATCTTCTTTGAAGGCCGCCAGTGTACCATTCATTGCTGAACGCAAACTGGGTTCGAACTCTTGACCTGTTTCCTCTGCCTGTCGTTCTCTCACACAGACACACGCACGCACGCACGCACGCACGCACTGGACTGGACTGGACTGATGTACACGCATTCACGAGGGGGTGAGATCGAACCTCGACCTCCATCTTATTCATCTCCTCCTTCCCGTACATACCCCCCCCCCCCCCCCCCCCCCCCCGCTCGTCACCTCGCCCACCTCCTCTCCCGCTCCTCCTACTCCTCACATTATCGCCCCCCTCTCCCACCGTTTCAATTGCTGCTACTAACCTTCCCCTGCTCCTACTCACTTTCACCTCCTCCTCTTAACTCTACTTACCTCCCTGTCTGCTTTCTCTCGAGAAGAGCCCCTTCTCTTCTCCTCCCAACATCCTTGTCCTCCAGAACCTCCTGCGCACCTCCTCCTCCTCCTCACTAGACCACGTGCAGTCTCTCTTTCTTTTTTTCTTTCCCCCCTCTCCTCCCCTTCTCATCGTGATACGCAAACGAGTTCCTTGCTCCATAACTCGCGAGAGTTCGAACCTCGCCTTCCCGCGTTTCCCACCGCCAACACTGGCAAATACGCACACGCTGCACACCCTGCATCCCCAACATCCTTCTCCTCCAGAAGCCCCTGCCTGCTTCCTTCCCCATCCTCCTCCTCACTGGACCGCGTGCACTCCTCTGTTGTTGTCGTTGTACATGCATACAAGTCCCTCGCTCCATCACTCGCCAGAGTACGACGAACCTCGAAATCGCGCGTTTTCCTCCGTCCAAACTGGCAAGAGACGCTCGCCGCTTTCCTCACATTTTACGATGTGAGGTTGTTCCAACTCTCGCGAGTACGAGATTTGAAACCCTCGCTAATTAGAGGTTCGAACTCTCGCCAGTCACGCACCTAGGAGATATCGAAGAGCCGCTCGTGCTACATTAAATTTTGCTTCATCTATCGACAAAAGGCAGAGGCGAAATCACACTGGCACTACCATAAATGTATCCAACCGCAATCACGGCGGGATCTGGATGTATGTGACCGCAATTACGTCCAGAAACAAGACAGAAAGCACTAGTCTTCTGAGTATATGCCCTGATGAGCGCGGATCAACGGATGCTCAGCGCAGAAAACGAAGATAAACATCGCAAAAAAATATTAAAATAGAAAGAAAAAAACAAAATAAGAAAGAAGGAACAACTTGAAGACCGTTTCTGGAAATTTCTGCGTGCCATCATCCTTGATTGCTCAGGGGTAACGCTAGACGCTAGTTATCCTAATCTCGACCAGGTTCTCTGTATCGTTCCAAATTGAACGGCTGCTGAAATGTCCCAAAGGAAAAGGACATCATCAAAGAACGTGAGGCTCTCTCTTCATCCGTGCAGGGACGATAGTCGGGATCTCGACTAAAGCCACTCAAAAAAAAACAGCCTCGTAAACAGGGGGGCGAGCCACGTATTACATACTTGTATCTGTATTGAGGGCATTTTTCGGTCCGTAAGCATATCGGTAATGACCTTGCAGGGCATTCTCTATTCGGGTGAAGACATCGCCTCCGATGCATCATAACTAACGGGAAACCTTCAGTCGCCTGTCTACTTAATCTACGTTAAACTCGAAAAGAATACAGTAATGACAGCGGACCCTCAGTCCTACAATATCGAGGCTGAGCGATGATTCGTTACTATACTGAGGAGGACGTACATAGACTAATACTATATTACACCGCTTCCCAGAAATGGGAGGTACAACCTTCAAAACGGGGTCCAAAGCTCCACGCGTGTGGCATTGGTATACGTAGACAACCGCAGTCTCCCCCCACCACTCTCTCTCTCTCTCTCTCTCTCTCTCTCTCTCTCTCTCTCTCTCTCTCTCTCTCTCTCTCTCT